CCTCCCTTCCCCTCCCTCCCCCTTTCTCCTCCCTCCCCCTTTCTCCTCGTCTCTCCTCTCTCTCTTTCTTCTCGTACTCCTGCTGGTTCAGCCTAGTTAGACTGGAGAAATCATTGCAGCTTCCTGCACATGTGATGGCTACATTTGTGAAGAGAGAAACCATTTGCTAATTGCTGTAATAAGAGAGAGACTCATTTTCTTGCACCATGCCCAAGCTTCTTGAGTGTGTATATGTTTTTACTGTATGTATAGTTGTTGTTGACGTGTGTAGTTGTTACTCTGGATCACCAGCATCCCTGATTCTGACCTTTACTTTCCTCTGTTGTTCCCTTTCCACAAAGGCTGTTGTGTAGGAAACTGTTCGTGTCTCCTTTTCCAGCAGTGACTGAGGAGACAGATCACCAAATAAGATTCTAGCAGCCAAAAGGTGTTGGTTTCATTTTCCATCTTCCATCTTCTTTTTCCCAAGGACTTTGAGCTGCCATCTCTACTTTTTTAATTTTTGGTTTTGGCATGACTCATCAGAGGCCAAAGCAGGAGTGAAAACGTGTTTCAAAACAGCCTAGACAGTGGATTTGTAAAGGCACGGCTTTGTTTCTTTGAAAGAACAGATCATTTTTTCAAAAGGGTGATGTGTGCAGCACACTCCTCCCAGAGGACAGTAGAAATGGAAGATGACTGGGGGATTGTTCCTGGCTCTTTTCCAAGAAGTACTTTGCTTCATTTATCTGCCTTCTTGAGAGCTGGATAAAGATACTATGCAGAGACTGAAATCACAAAGGTAATTTTATTTAACCAATAAACATCATCCTGTGTTCCAGAGAGCTTGCTACTACTCCCTTTTGCTTCTCAACAGCAGCACTGGTACTCATTTACTTTTATTCCCATCAGTTAACATCCACTCTTTCACTGGCATCTTGCTTTTCTGTCCTGCTCCTCTTGTCATTCCCTCTGCTTGCTCCTGCAGATTCCCGGTGTGACTGCCCAGTGTGACAGTCTCTCTGTTTTATTCACAGCCTCCTCGGTGGCAGGAATAGTGGCACCCTGTGAAGCCCAAGCTCAGAGCAAGGCGCTGCCGGAGCTGCAGTTAAAAGCCAGCGACTTTGAGTGCTTCCCTTGCTTTCCCAGCCCTCCTCCCATCCGCAGGGCCAGCCTGGCGCTTAGCCTGGCCTTCGACCCCCAGAGCCACATTGTTCCCCTGATGCTGGACACTCCCAGCAGTGACTGCAGCTTGGCCAGTCACGAAAACGGCTCCAGGGAAACTTTCTCTTACGGCGTCCAGAATCAAGGGTAGGAGCAGAAGAGTGTCTTTGAGGGAGATGAAAAAAGCGGCCTCCTGGGAGAAGCCTTGGGAGGGTGAATATGGGACAGGGGATAAGAAATTAGGCGGGAGCGTTAATGAAAAGTGAGATGCAGATGTGACAATATCCTTTAAAGGGAGTATGAAAAGCTGTATAATGTGCATAACAGGACAAGATGCCTGCTATGAGACAGGTGCTACCTGTACTCAGAGTGCTCTCAGAATTGCATGCTGTCAAGTGAAAGTGAGGAAACTGTTCCAAGCTTTGGGGTGGGCTTTGGAGAGTGGGAAGATAATTCCCACTAATACCCATTGTTCAAGAATCCTGCTGTGAAAGCGCTTTGCTCAAGTGGCTTTTGTTGCCCTTGTCCTGTGCCTGGTATTTGGGAGGAAGGGTTGGCAATAAAACAGTTGTTAGTTGGACAGGCTGGTGTAGCTGTTGACCCTCCTCTAATCTCTGGGTTGGCTATCTCCTTGCTCTCTGCAGCTTCAGTTCACCAGTTTCTTGCCCTTATCCCGAGCACCTGGAGCCTGGAGACAACCTGGAGGCCACCTACTCTCAGTACAGCAGTGAGGGGGAAATCTATCAGCTCTCCCAGTTCTGTCACCAAGGTCACCTGGCCAGCAATATGTTCTCCAATGACCACCTTCCTCTTCCAACACCCCTGGAGTCCCATCCACCTTTCCCTGACTTACCTGGTAGTGGTGGAGCCATAACCTGTGGAGCCATGCAAGGCTATGTACAAAACAACATGGGGGGACCACTCATGCCACAGCAGCCAAGTGGATATTCAGGTAAATTTCTGAAATATTTTGGTATCCTGCTCCTCTGGAGTAACTAAATAATACCCTGAAACATTCAGCAAGATCAGTGGGTTCACTGATGACAGTGACAGAAAGAAGGACCATTCACATGCCTGCACAAATCTATAGATGTGCTTGTCTTTTTTTCACTTCATTTTCTTGTATGCTTGTTTGTCTTAAAGTGCTGAGTGACCTGTTAATTTGAATCAAAAGTTACTCTCTGGACTGCACACGTCGGGAATAGTATTAAATGTGAATGTGTCAGATAGTGCAGAGATTTGTCTGGACTGGAGAAGTAACTTTTCCAGGAGTGTCCTGTTGTGTGCACAAACACTCTTTTGTTGCATGTGGTGGGAGTCAAGGGCAAAGTGGAAAAGGTGCCACAGCAGATGGGATAGTTGGAGATAGTGAGGAAAAACAGCCTTCTCACTGTTTGGCTTCTGCAGAAACCACTCTGAAATCACTTTATGTATCTCAGGGTAATGCAAAAGAAGAGAGAGACAGGAGCTGACAGAGTATGGACATAGATTCTTCCTCTGACTTGAATTTGCAACAGCTCTGAGATGAAGGCACTCCAGCATAATTTTATGGAAAAAAAAAACAACCTCAAGCCTAACCCCCCCCCCCCCCCAAAAAAAACCTCCAAAACAAAACCCCTCCCCCAAAAACCCCTAAAAAAGCCAAACTTTAGGTAAAAATGGCATTGTTGATCTCCTTGTTTTGTGTCTGTGCTTTGTATTTTGAAGTTATTCAAGCCCAAGTATAATCAAATGAGAAACTGTTGTACTTAATTCATTTGGATGGACAGGTTTGTTAAATTAAGGTCACACTCCAAAAGTTCCATCCCTTGTCTCATGACATGAGAGAACAAAGAGTTTTAGCCCACAGATGCTGCTGCTGTTTTTTTTCCAGTTCTGTGGACCTTGTCAGGGAGGGAAGTCTGACTCACATCAGGCTGCAAGCTGGCTCCTGTCCCCACTCTTCACAGCTGACATTGTGCAGGACAGGTTGGCAGCACCCATGCTATTGAAGACACTTGGCCCTGCTCCCTGCTCTAGTTCCAAGGCATAATTATTATTTTCTGTGGTTTTTCAGTCTGAAGTGCCAGAAATAATGAGAGGGCTATACCCCAGACTGGATCAAATTAGTTTTTCTAGCTTGGTGCCTAAGTGTGGTTGCATTCCTTGGGGCATGTTGTATGAGCATCAAGGGGTGTGTAAAGGTGCAAGCTGGTGAAGTTGGAAGGTTGTTGAAGGAACAGAGGCAGAGCTGATATTCTCTTACTCCATACTTCTGTCCAGAGCACAGTCAGCAGTGAATTACTTTTCTGGTATGCAGTGGGGATGACCAAGTTCACAGAATCATGAAATCCTGGAATGGCTTGGTTTGGAAGGGACCTTAAAGTTCATCCAGTTCCAATGCTCTGCTATGGACATTAGATCAGGTTGCTCAGAGCCCTGTCCAACTTGGCCTTGAACATTTCCAGGGATGGGGCAACCACGAGTCCTCTGAGTTCTAGTGCCTTACCACCCTCACAAGGCAGGAATTTCTTCCTGAAAAGGTTCCAGGATTCTGAAAATGCAGGGCTGGAAACCAGTCTGTCAGTGCAGACACACCTGTGAGCCTTACATCAGCACATAAGCAAAGTGAGCAGCTTAGTTGAATTATGGTTATTAATTAACAAAACATTCCTGCTTCCTGGTTTACAGCTTTTATAAATGAAAGTGAAGATTAAGCGTCCATTTTATGCCTGGCAGAGCTGCCTTGGAAAATAGGACTGGGAAAGAAAACAACTTGAGGGGGGTGTCTCTACTATCATTACATAGACTCAGGATCAGTGCTGAGTGGCATGGATTTTCTTTTAGATTATAACAATGCTATGAACTCCCTAAGCTTTTCTGCCAAAGAACCATGTTTTGGTCAAATACACGGCAGTATAAAGAGCAAAGTGATCATTGATGTGTGTGTGGTGTCTGCTGCACTGCAAAGCTGTGTTTGCACTGAGCAAAGCACAACTCACACATCTTGTACATAGACATGTTTTCATTCTTTTAATTATTCTTTCTTTCTTGGTGGCTTTTCCCTCAGCAGACATCCCTGCCTATCCAGCTGTGCCCTGGAGTGATTTCTACATGCAGGGAGCTCCTTTCTCCAATCAGTTGCATTCCCAAATGCCTTTTTCTAGCACTGCAGGAGGACAGTACTTCACAGAGCCATCTCTCCTTCAAGTGCCCAACACAACAGTAGTGGAATCCATGCCACAAACTGGAAAACAAACGGGAGTGACACCACCAGAGCAAAGTTCCTACCAGAGCCACCAAACAGAGCCAAAGTCGGCAGCACTCACTGAAAAAGAGGACATAGAGAGCAGCAGCAAGAAAGGAGAGACTATTGATGGTAACAAACTGATTGTTTTATTGGAGAAGAAGGGGGGGAAAGGGAAGAGTCCCAAGACAGCAGTAGTTACCCTGAATGCAGGATGAAAACTGTGGCATTATTTTTTTTGTGAGCTGCTGCCTGAGACAGCTCCCATGATCCTATACCTATTCTATACCTAGTTCTTAGATACATCTGTTTTTGGAAATGGGGACAGAAAAGTCAGTAAAATAGATGGCAAAGTTCCATGTTTCTTCAGACATCATTTGTTGTGAGCTGTATGGCTACACAGAACTGATTATTTCCAAGATTTCCAGAGGCATAAACATCTCTGTTCAAGGCAGAACTTCACCAAGAAGCAAAAAGGGGAAGGGAGGGTTTTCTGTGGATCTAATTTTGAGATATAAAACATTTGAAAAATTCAAGGTATTTTGTGTGACATTTTCTTATGAATGTGTTTTGGGTTTTTTTGCAGAAACTAAAGAAGAAATTAATGACTGATCTTGCACTCTGAGAAAAAAAAAGGAAGAGGAAAAGTTGCTCTTTTAAACTCTGCAAAATAAGAGTCAAAAAAAGAAAAGAATAATAATATTTGCAGCAGATGCACTTTTTCATTTTATTTCTTCTTTTGGTTGTATTTTTTTTCTTGTTGCCATGATTATTTTCTTGCATAAAAATGAAGCAGGGATATTTCACTCAATAAAAAATAAAAGTTCCTGCTCTTTTTTTTTTTTGTTGTTTTGCTTTTTTTATCTTTTGTTTTGGTTTGGTTTGGTTTTTTGGGTTTTTTTTGCAAATCTCCTTTCTTTATTCTAATCTTGACCAGCCCTCAGACAGGAAAGAGCTGATAAAGGAACCAGAGTCCCATGAGTAAAAATTCCATATCATGCAAGTGTCAGAAGGTCTGGCTGCTGTCTTGGAATACATGGGAAGAGAAACCAGGAGGCATAAGATACATGCAAAACAGGAGGAGAAACTCCAGCACCTACACTTGATTTTAAGGACTCCAGACAACAAAATAAGTCTTCATTGTGGAAGTCCAGTAGTGATTTGGTGTTTGCTACTCTTGAATTATTCTAAAAAAAAAAAAAAATCATTGTAAAACTGTAACAATAAGCAGCAGCAAGACTGTAACTATAAATGCTGGCAGTGTAACTGGGTCCCCGTCTATTATTAATTGCTTTAGCATCCAATTTGAATTGATCTGTTTGAACTTGGCGTGATCATCTTAGCTCCTACTTTGCCTGGGAAACATCCCTAAACTCAGTGGTCAGCAGCAGGACCAGAGGACTCCAGTGAAGAGTTGTTCACTCTGAGAGCTACAGTTCCCAGGAACTGTACTTCCCAGAGGAGCTGTAACCACCTGGATGTGTAGGATGTGTAAGACGAGTGGCTAAAATGGATGTCAGGCTGTGTTCTTGTGAGAAAAGACCATCGTGTTTTAGGAAGAGGGATGTGCATTTCCTTTGTTACTTCCGGTGTTTAACCCTGAGTCTTTCCACTGGCTTTTAGACACAGAAAATGTCCAAATAATTTTTATGTTTACTGTGATGTGGGTGCCCCTCTTGTACCTTGTGAATTTAGGCATTTCCACATCTTTTGTTTCAGTTCCTCTGCAATCTGGACATGGAGTGTCTGACAGGAGCTAGATGCTGCAGCTCCTCTGTTTTTTCTTCCTCCTGTAAGACACTGGTTTATGTCTGGCCATGGCTGGATGCTGCTGAAAGACTAAGCAGTATAGACAGGGACAGATTTTGAGTCTACAGCTTCGTGTGGCTATTCCAGAATTTCCATTTCCTACAACAAAAGTTAATTCTTGCCTATAGTAAGCTGAGAATAGTTGGGAATGTGCATTAATTCACACTTGTTCCACTTATCCTCCATTGAACAGCCTAAACCAGTATTTCCAAGAGGTGTGAATAGGAGTTTTCATTGCAAGTGCAAGTCACTCTGAAAGCTGTTGCTGGTGATGACTGCAAAATTAATCATAGTGAGGGCTGGCTGGGAATCTTGTCTGGATCCCAAACCAGCCCTTCCAGGTTTGGAAGAGGACAAAACCAACAGAATGCCAGCTTGTTCAGCCCTACTTGCCCCTTCTCATACAACAAAGAAGAAAATAATTTAGTGTGCTTTTTGCGAAATATACATTTTCAGAAATAGGCTTTTGGGATGTGGTCTGCTGGCAGAGTCCCCACCCCAGCTTGCAACATCTGCCTACAGCATTTGCAGTCTGAATGTGACACTGAGCTTTATATGCTGTAATCTCAAAAGGTTTGGGGAGTGAATAAGCACAGTGTAATTTTTGAAACGGCCAATCCTTTGCATTTAATCTTTTGAGTAAAACATAAACTTTTCTGGGAATGGTCCGATTTTATTTCCATGCTTGTCTGTTAAACTTGCCAGGTTCAATTGGGCTTGGAGTTTTGAACTGAGATTTCTTTCCTATCAGAAAGAGAAGGAAAGGGTGGGTACCTGAGGGTATGTGGATGGCCAGATTCATCCTCTTTGTGCTCCTGTTGGCTTTGGAGTCAAACCAGGGTTAACCACAGGCAGGATTTTTTTCCCAGTGCGGCCTCTGGCAGAAGCAGTAACAACCCTTGACCATGTGGCAGGTGTCCCACCAAGGTGAAGAGCCTTCCATCCTCATGTAACCCTCCTATTGCACCTGCAATCCATGCTGCACTGGTGTCTTGGAATCCCAGCATTCCAGGTTCCTTGTGCTGTTCTCCCTGCTGCAATGTGTAGTGGAATTAGGTGTGTGTTGGACAAAACACCATGGGTGCTTTCATTAGCTATTCCCTTTTCGTGTTAAGTCTCAAGAAGGCTCATTTTGTTAGGGTGGGCAAGATCAAAATTCCAAATTCCATGGCTGCCTGACTGGTTCCTCCTTTGAAGTGAGAAGAATTGTTTTGCCTCTGTATTGTCATTTGAACTGGAAGTGCCAAGCAGCCAGGATTTTGAAGTGAGTCAAACTTCGTGCAAATAGAGAAGCCTGTGTGTGTTATCAAGTGTTGCTGGGGTTTTTTCCAAGTTGTTTCTCAAGTTGACAAGGCAGATTGTGGATGTATTTCTACTGGACTCATACAGTACCGTGTCTGTAAGACTGGAAATGGGAGTGGAGGTACTGTCACAAACTTATTTTCACAGAAGAAAAGTACTGTGAGATTTTGTCCAGTTGCCTGAAGTGTGGCTGTTCAGCTGACAGTGCATATATGTGCATATCTATCCCCTATTTGCATATTTTAGTATAATTAATTTTTAAACTTCTGCAACTTCTATTTAGTTGATGTATAACCAGATAAATTTGGTATATTAACTTTTTCCCATGTGCCTTGGCCAGCAAAAAGACACTATTTTTTACAAACAAGCCCTGTTTTATGTGATGAGAGTACGTGAACTCATGGGAACTAAATCTTCAGTTTTAGTAAGCAAGAGAAGCCTTATCTTACAAGCCTCTTAGTTTCTGTAAAGTGGGGTACATTAGAAAGTATCAGTATTAATTCAGTTCAACAGCAGGAATAATTTTTTGCATTTATTATAAAGATTGCTACAAATTGGATGAGACAATCATATGTTGCTGGGTGGTAAATGGTGATTTCCCTTCATGCAGCTGTGCTAAGCAGAGCACATTAAAACCCCCACAAAACAAACCAAACCCAAATCAATCACCTGCCAGTGCCCTCCATCTTCATAGGTAAGTGCTGAGCATGGAAACACCTGTGAGACCTCATTTATCTTAATGATAATCACACCTTCAGTACTGATAATGCATCTGCCAGGTGAGCCTGTGTGGCTCAGTCCTCAAACCAACTTCAGGGACACATTCCTTGATCTTGTGTGTCCCACATCCCATGTCTGCCTGATCCATCAGAAAAAGGGTTGGTAAATTTTCATTGTTAAGGCAACAGTTTTTCAGAACCCAGGGCTGTGGTAACTGTGTCCTAAGGGCTGTTGCTGGAGAAAAGAACTGCTGAGAAGTGTTTGATTTTACAGCAAGACAGTTGTAAATAGCCATGAGTTTAAAAGTTCCAGTTATATACAGGATAAAAATCATCTTTCTTGGGATATTTCCCTCTGAGCTCATTGTAGATTTTTACAGTACTTTAAACAAGGTGGAGACGTTTGTCCCTTGATTGTTTTCAGGGTTTAGGAGCAAAGTGCCTCTTGGGTACATCTCACCTGGTGCTGGGGCAGAGCAGGAACCCAGATCCTCCAGCACTCCCTGCTGTGACCGATTAAAGCCTCTGCATAGTTTTTGGGGAGGGGTACCAATTTCCCTTTCTTCTGTGGGAAGATGGTTTCATCCTTGCCTTTCTCACCTTTAGCAGGGAAGTCACATGGCCATTTCTTCCCAACCCAGATGCTTTGGGAAGTTGGGTGGTGTTTTCTTTTTTGTTTTTTTGGGAGTGGGGGGAGGCAGACCTGCATGTTCCCATGTTAATCCCACATACCTGCCTGGGGTCTTGGGTGCAGACTCTTCCTTGCAGCACACAAGACTCCAGAAGGTGCCCAAAACCTTCCCGGTGCCTTGGGAACCTTAGAATTGCAGAAACATGTAAGAGTTTGTGTCAGAAGAGATCTTAGAGATCATATTGTTCCAACCCTCTGCCATGGGCAGGGACACCTTCCACTAGCCCAGGTTGCTCCAAGACCCATTCAGCCTGGCCTGGAACACTTCCAGGGATGGGACAGCCACAGCTGCCCTGTGCCAGGGCCTCACAACCCTCACAGAGAAGAATTTCTTCCTGATATCCAATCTAACCCTGCTCTGTGTCAGTGTGAAGCCATTCCCCCTTGCCCTTTCACTACAGTTCCTGATGGGAAGCCCTCCTCTGGCTTCCCTGCAGCCCCTTCACCTACGGGAAGGTTCTGTGAGGTGTCCACACACCCACCTGCCCTTCTTCAGGCTGAGCAGCGCCAACTTTATCAGCCTGTCTCTATAGGGAAGATGGATGAGCCATGACTCCAGTGACTCCATTGACTTCAATGACTTCTGGACAGCTGTGTCATTCAGCCTCTGTTGAGAATGAAGGAACTGAAATGAAGGTTATTTGGAGACCCCCATGGGGGGATCCCCACTCCCAGTCTGGGTGCTGTGCTCTGGTGT